GAGTAGGGCTGCACAATTAATCGAATTTCTAATGGCAATTACAATTATGGATGCCACAATTACGTAATCGTTCAAAGCGGCAATTAATCGTTCAAAGTCCACTTATGTTATTCTGCGTGCTTAAGATGCGTTTTTTTTCTTTCTACATGTTATCTTAAGGGTTTTTCCCATTATTTTAATTTTAGTTTTAGTATGACATTATAATACCATTCATATTTTTACTTTTTTTATAATTTAAAAAAGAAACCAATCCGATGTATAGTTGACATTTGAGGCTTAATACTATAGAAAAGCACAAAGTTTTTCAGTTTGTGTTTTTAGCTTGTTTATTTTCATATAAAAATACGGCATGCAGTTGCATCAAACAATGGTATAAACATCATTCAATGTAAATTGTGATAATCATAATTAATAATCGCAATTACAATTTCAAGGCAATAATCGACAATTATGATTTTTGTCATAATCGTGCAGCCCTAATAAGCAGTTCTACATAGACTACCTTATTATTGAAGTGTTGAGATTTTTTTGAGTGCACATTAGATTGTTTTCCATTTAACAGTTAAGATTTAAAAAAAAAATTTGGTCCAATTTTTACATTGACCTGAACAAAAACAGCAGAAAGGCTGAATGAAAATGTAAATCCACTCTCTGACAGCAAGTGGTGCTTATGGAACAGCAGAAACACTACTTTATTACTAATTATAAGCACTATTTTTTTTATTATTTATGTGTGTAAACTTTATGATTTAATTACAATTTAGTTTGATAATTCAACAACTCAAGAACCCTCTTGAAATTCCCTTGCAAACCCCCGTTTGGGAAACCCTGATCTAAGCGAAAACACATTATTTTTGTGTGTGTCTCTTTAAATGTAAATGAGCTCCCAGAAGAGGGCTATGCCTTTACAGCTCTTGCCGTGGATACTCCAGCAACAACAAACAAAATATCTGCATGCATTTTAAAGCCTTGTCAGTTTAAATTCCTGATATACGGTTTTCTGAGCACACGCAAAGCACGCACACAGAAAACCAGTAGTCAGATGTCGCATCGTGTGATCATTTAACTAAGATTTCTTTCACATTAGCTGTCAAATACACACAAGGTTATGTCAAAATAACACAAAAAAATACAATTTCACATTATGTTGGTTGTGTCTGTGAATGTAAACAGTTGGGGAAGAAATCGCATGTGTATCAGTATATTAGATCTGTGAAACATTGTCTCTTGGACATGGCGATAACACACTACTTATGCAACTCAACCAGGCCTCACCCCCTTGGGCATGCCTTAGGCAGAAATTATTTAAATTTGAGATATTGTGACGTGTGCATTCCTGGAAGAAAACCTCTTGGGTTACTGACTTGGTTCCCTGAAATGAGGGAGCGAGATGTTGCATCAAATAGCTGACGCTATTTGGAAACACCTCAGATAGCTATAAACAGCTGATAGCCCTAAACACTTTGTCTCATAGTAGGACATTAATATGTAATATGACAGAACCATTGCAGCCAAACAGCATAAGCATACATACAGTGTCTTACAATAGTAACCTGTTGGCTTTAGGCACATAGCCATAAGTGTAAGTGGCTAGTGTAAGCAGCACTTCACACCAATATGAAAACAGTGGCACAGCTGGTGCTTATCATAGAAGTGCAACAAACAGCAGCAACACCAGCATATATAGTGGTAAGCGTAAGTAACACTACACACCTATATAAAAACAGTGGCACAGCCGGTGCTTATCATAGATGGGCAACGAGCAGTGTGGCACCAGCATAAATTTCGGTCAGTGTAAGCAACGTTACACACCTACATATATACTGGCAGCACAGCCAGTGCTTATCATAGAAGAGCAATGAACAGTGGCAGCGCCAGGATATATAGTGGTTAGTGTAATCGTCACTACACACCTATATGAAAAACAGCTGCTCTGAGGCAGGGGCTGCTTATATATTGTCAATGAGTGAGCAGCTGGAGCAGGTAGATCGCCTCTCTGAAACTGCTTATTTTCATGTCCTGAAAGTCCACCACTGGTCCCTATCCCTGGCGAAAATCACAGGTAGTTCAGGTGGAAGCGAGGGACGCAGAAACTGACTCGGCCTGAGCTCATCCCCTGACTCAGTTGCCTCTGGCTGCCGCTGCTTCCTTCTCCATGGCTCTTAGGGTGTGGGAGGGCGGAAGCAATTCAGTGGCCAGCTTATTGTCAAAGGCAAAGCAAGGCAACAGCATGATTTAATCATATTTCAGTATTTCTAGGAGAAAGGGTGTTTCCCCATAGCGTCCGCTATCTGCCGCAATGTTGAGAGACTGATATTGAAAGGGAACTCAGGACTACAATGGAGGCGTTGAGGAAGTACATAAACAGTGCATACTGATATAGAGAATAACTCCCTTTGGAGTTATTGCTTTGTAAGGACTGTGCTTTGTAAATTTGCTGATTTTTTTTCATGCTCAAATAGCAACATTATGCACTAGTTAAAAGTGTATAAAGCATAATTGAACACTTTATATTTACTTTCTCAATATCAGAGTGAAATTGTACTGTAAACAAGGTGCTGATAATTCCATTTTCATCCTGATAAGAGTGTAAAGTCATGTTGACCACAAGAATAAGGTCATAAATGTCTCTCTCTTTCCCTGACTCCACTGACATGGCTTTTCACTTAGTGTACCCTTAATAATAATAATAATAATAATAATAATACTTTATTTGTATACCACCTTTAATACAAAGAGCTCAAATTGCTTTACAATAAGCACCAAGTACTTCACATGAAAACTAATAAAAATACCATAATTAATATACCATTATTTAAAGGGGTCATATGATGCGATTTCATTTTTTCCTTTCTCTTTGGAGTGTTACAAGCTCTTGGTGCTTAAAGAAGATCTGTAAAGTTGCAAAGACTAAAGTCTCAAATCCAAAGAGATATTCTTTATAAAAGTTAAGAGTTAGCCACACCTACCTAAAACGGCTCGTTCGAACACGCCCCCACATATCTACCTCACTATGCGGGAAGATTTGCATAACGCCGCCCAAACGTTCACGCAAAGAAAGAAGGCGTAACTAACGCACTGGATAGCTGGCTAATCAGAGCACACCTCGCTTTTCAGACTGATGAGCTTTGTAAAAATCGACGCGTTTCAAAAAGGCGGGGCATAGAGGAGAAACAATAATGTACAGTATGTGGAAAATAATGTGTTTTTTTAACTTTAAACCGCATAAACACATTTCATTACACCAAATACACAAAATAATGTTCTTTTTAGCAGCATCATATGACCCCTTTAAAGATTAAACCCTCTTTATAATGATAATGAGATACAATTAGTATACATAAAATACATAATGAGATTAAAACCAAGTAATAATAAAGGCAACTTAATGTATAGAATGCTTCAGAAAAATAATTTGCTTTTTAAAAACCCAAGTAAAAAGATAAGGTTTTAGCTTATAGACCTAAACCATTTGTACTGAATTTTTTTGTGTTGGGTACATTTATTTTTACTGTGTGAGAAGGTGAGAATATTGATGTTCTTTTCTGGGTCTGTATTGGACAGGAGGAAGCAGCGATACCAGAGTGCTCCCAGGAACATCCATAGACATGTGCTGATGTCTGAGATCAAGGAGGCAACAGCTACCCTTCCTTTAGTAAGAGACATACCTAATTTTCTAAACTACACCTTGAGAAGCAGTAAGAAAGCAGTAATCAAAACGTACTCTCTTTGACACCGCATGTAATTGAGCCATTGCTGATTTGGAGGGAATCCTCTGTAAACCTTCAAAGCATTTGACCAAAAGTCTTTACCATTTTGCTCATTTTCTTTGGTTTGAGGTTTGATTTTTCAGGGGTCGCCTTTTTGAACGATCCTTGGTCAGTGTTATTTCTTGTGCAGGAATATGAAGTTTCTGCAGCATTGTATAGTACATCTGCCACCCCTAAACACACCACCAACAGCAGAAGAATCATTCAGTTATCAGCATCATATAACATTCAGGGATGCAAACTTGTCACCTTTCAGCGAAATTCTGCGTTTTGAATTCAGAATGGGTCATTTTTGTGATTCGTGTAGTTCCGGTGAGTTTTTAAAATTGTTTGGGGGAGGTTGGGGGGTCTTTTTACAGTGCTAGTAGTACCAACTCAATTCTGTACCCGCTTGAAGTCACCCTCTTTCAAACGCTCCTGTGCGTTTTTGTGTGCGTATGGAAGTTTTTTCTGAACAAAATTAAAATGAAAATTCAAATGCCTAAAAAGATAAAATAATAAATCAAACTCTCAAAACAACTGCTTAAATGATAAATCAAATGATCAAATAATAAATCTAACTCTCAAAATGGCTTCTCAAATGAGAAATCAAATACTCAAATGCAGTTTAATTTCCTCATTCAGGGAAGCATGAACTGTATCAAAATCAAATTAAAAATCATTTGTATTTTATATTTAATTTTCATTATCAACACATTATAAACCTGCCATAATTAAATCTAATTCAGTTCATGAATCAAATGCTCAAACCGACATCACAAATGATTAATCAAATGTTCAAATCATAAATCAAATGCTCAAATCATAAATCAAATGCTTAATTGGACATTGCAAATAATAAATCAAATACTCAAATTATAAATCAAATGCTCAAACGGAAACCGCAAAAGGCAAATCAAATGCTCAAACGGACATTGCAAATGATAAATCAAATGCAAATGAGGAGTGTCAATCAAGTAGCGTGGGCGGAGCTTTGAGACGCAACGAGCACGAGAGGGTGAAATCTTTGCGCGGCAGGGGGAGCTGCCACCAAAACCTGCCACAACTGAAGGCAGCTGCCAATCCGATAGATGTGTGTGAACGAACATACAGTGCAACCCGGGTCTCCTTCTATTGTTTTATCACCTTATACAATATATAATTCCTTCATTTTTATCTCAAATGCAGCGAGTCCTGCTACCAGCAGGAGCCACCACGTTACGCACAATAGGTTAATTCACCATTAACCAAACGCTTTTCACACTGTTTACACTCAGATTCATTCATTTGAATTTTCATTTGAATTTTGTTAGGAAAAAACTTACATATGTGCGTGCTCTGGTTTCAAATTACAAAACCAAAAGTTTCTATTTACAACGTGTTTTGCAGCATTGAGTATTGTAGCCAATCACAGGTATCTCTGTTGAAAGCAGTGGGCAATCAGAGGTTATTACTGTAGGTTATTCAGAATCCGCTCTGAACTAATTTTTGTTTTCGCAAGTTTATGTAGTTCTACATGCTCACAGATCTTCATATTATAATAAAGACAAAAAGAAAGCATACATGATGTAAATAAGGTATTCATTGTGTAGTTAATTATTGATTACATCAGGAGTTTTCGCGTGAGTAAGCTCGGTCAGTTGCGCTGTAAGGGAAGCGCCCTTTTGTTTCTCTACATACTTCATTCACAGTTTGAAGAAAAGTTTTGTTTGTCTAAGACAAGCGTGCCACATGAGTCCTGAAAAGTGAAGACAAAGCATCTCGATCGCCCCCAGGTGACTGGATGCAGTATACAGTAGGTCATAAACCCGCTCTCACCATGTAATGTAATGGGATCTGAGACAAACTAAACAATCAAATTACACTTCAAATATTTTTTTTCCAAAGATATTTTCTGTCATCTTAGGTAGTTCTTAGCATGCTGATGTATGTTCAAGTGTTCGTTTTTCTAACAAGTTTGCTTTTAATTAGTTATTTGATGCTATAAAAACGGGGTGTGGTGTCATGATTGTGATCTTGCCATTGGGTCTGCGTGAGTTTGGGCGGAACTTTGATACCGTGGCTCCACCTCACAATCACTACTGCGCAGACTATGGTTCCAAATGATGTCATTTTCACAAGATGACAATGGCCATACTGAGAATGTTTTGACTTCACTTTTCTATAGTGGAAGGAAGTGGAGACATGTCGTCCATTTTTTTTTTTTTTTTTTTTTTTTTTTTTTTTTTTTTTTTTTTTTTTTTTTTTTTTTTTTTTTTTTTTTTTTTTTTTTTTTTTTTTTTTTTTTTTTTTTTTTTACAGTCTATGGTCTAAGAGGACCCAACCGTCCACGTATACTGTTTCAGGAATGACAAACGCGAGTGAATCTGCCAAATTGTTGCGCGATTGATGGTGATAACTGTAATGGATGGATCAAACTATCTGACAAGCCGATGTCAAAACAGAGCTGTGCTTTAAGTGATGCAGAGTAAATTCAGAGTAAAAAACTATGGCAGCAACAAGTCTGTGTTGGAAAGTGAAAGAAAGTGATGAAAGTGATTGTGACGTGGCCAAGTATGGTAACCCATACTCTGAATTAGTGCTCTGCATTTATCCCATCCTAAGTGCTGTGTGCCGCCGCGTTCTTCTTTTTCTGAGGTAATCCAAAGCTTATTCCTCTCAGCGCATCTTTTTCTGAGGTAAATTCTGTCTTATTCCTCACAGTGCGTCTTCTTCCAGAAACGAACAGTAGCCGAGATGAACTTGAGGAAAAGTCTTGCTGCTTTGTTTGCTGTGATGTGGGCATTTACATGCTGCGCATCTCACGTGGAAGATTGTAATATCAAAAGTGACAGTAGCGCGTGGGCGTGATCTAATTAGAGATAATGAAGCTAGAAGGAGAAAGACTGGATATCGCGTTGGTTTCATATGGATTACTTTATCACAGAATATTTGTTTTCGATAAGACTAGTGTTGTTTTTGGCGGCCTGTTTTAATTTTAGTTTTAGTCTAGTCTTTGCGTAAAGCTGTCATTTTAGTTTACATTTTAGCAATTTAAAAATATTTAAAAAAAAACAGGCACCCCTGCTCTCGACAGACGGCACCCCGGTTGGGAAACACTGTTTTAAATAATGCCGCGAGTGGGGCTTGAGGAAGTGGTGTCGCCTGCGTCTGCGCAGTGTGACCTGATGCAGCCCCTGAAGTGAGACACAGGAAACAGAAATACTGCAAAATAATAATATTAACGCGACTAAACGAGATGAAATAACGTTATAACATTTTGTTTCGTCTCGTTTTGGTCAACGAAAATGAAGAGACATTTTAGCATAGTTTTTATTTTGTAAACCACATTTAGTCTCGTTTTTATTTGTCAACAATATTGCATTATACATTTAATTATAGTCATCGTCACATGACCAGCATTTACGTTGCGTCTCGTCTCGTTTTCGTCACGTGATAAAGGTTCGTTGACGAAGATATTTAGTCATAATTTTCGTTAACGAAAGCAACACTAGATAAGACTTGCTTCGTTTAAAAGTAGACATGTCAAGCTTTCTATAGATATAGCTCTCATGTCTCTGTGTCGAGTATTCACTGAGTTTCAGTTCATTTTAGTGACGCGTTTCTAAATGAAGATTACTTGGTTTCATATGGATTACTTTATCACAGAATATTTGTTTTCGATAAGACTTGCTTCGTTTAAAAGTAGACATGTCAAGCTTTCTATAGATATAGCTCTCATGTCTCTGTGTCGAGTATTCACTGAGTTTCAGTTCATTTTAGTGACGCGTTTCTAAATGAAGATTACGGAGAACAAAGCGGCAGACAGCGCACCCTGTTTGTTTTCTTTATTTTACAAAAGCACAAAGTTTTGTTGTCGTTATGTGTGTATACAAATAAAAGTAGACCCTTTACAGATTCGATTGATGTATTGCTCTTACCTGTACGATCAAAACTGACGGAGAAATTTAAGCTCCCTTAGGGGCTTTCAAAAAAAAAACTGCAACAAAACACGCCGGCACATTTGTCGACCCCAGAGGGTTAAATGAAAATGCCATTGAAACTTTTCTGAAGACAGTCGGTTCCCATTTAGAGAGATATTCATATAAAAACACCCACGCTTCGTTTTTACTTTGAATAGTGCAGCTCATATTTATTTAATGAAATCATAGCCTTTTGAAGTTTAATCCTCACATTTAGCCATAGTGCAATTCTTACTGTCTTTCCGTTCCCAAATTTGAGATGTTTAAATTATAATAAAGACTTTTCTTGTACCATTTAAGCCTTTTTATGGTCTTAAATTTGATACAACTAAATGTAAGACTTTTTAAGGACCTGCGGGAACTCTAACCCGCCAAAGTGGCTAGTGGGATTGTGTTACATGCCACTTCTGAAATCCACTCGCATTTGACAGGTGTTAATGGCAAGCCCTGAACATAACCCTCATGTGCAAATCCCAAAATTTTAATATAAACATGATCTGGTCAATTTATAATCTTTTATAACCATTAAGGACACAAAAAATGCCCTCAGTAGTTGGTTGATATTTCACTATATAAGTGAGGACATTTGGCTCTCAAGTATAGCTAAACAATCACACACTCACATACAAAACTGTGTTGATTTTGTATTACGTTGGTTTATAAGGAATACTTGACTGTTAGACAAAGTATTAAATGTGATATGTAGTTTTGTTCATATATAGTTTATCTGTTTCATTATTTAATACTACAAAGGTTCTTTTGGTCCCTTACAGGAAGTGACCACACAGCCAGGAATGGGTTTTGACCCTCTCCCTCCTCTGGACTCCATTGTGTCTTACATCAGACCAGAAAGGTATTACCTAAATGCGCTTAAGTTCTCTGCCTTATATGATACAGGGCTTTTGATGGTGTTTTAAAGGGGTCATATAAGATGTCTTTATATAATTAAAATGCCCAGCAGAATTCATAGCTTAAAATGTCCTCCTCATTATAAACAAAGCGTTTATTTATTCAAGGTCCAAAAATGGTCAGTTTGGATATTGTGGAATTTGTGACATCACACAGGCACAAAATTAGCATATTACTGTCTCCAAAGCAAGACATCAACGAATAGTTATACATCATCGCAGCATAGGCCTCGCCCACTGGTGTTCAGTTGCTTAATGGCTGACACTGTCCTACACTGGATGTGAATGTCACATTATGTCATGTCAAAAGCAGATAAGAACCTATTATAATCACCGATACTGAAAACAGAACAGATTTCTTTTCAGTTATTGACATACTCCACATGCTTGAGTCTGCTGACAACAGGACAAATGGAAAAGTAAAAACATTTTCTTTGACGTGTCCTGTTTAAACAGCTCATTTGCATCTCTGTACAGACTTCAGAAGGATCCCAGTGACAGGAACAAGTGAATGGTTAATTTTTAATGGTGTTCCGGTTGTTCAGAGCACTAAACTGCAGATTGTTTTGTAAACGAGGCACAGCTCAAGTGTAATGGAGAGTTGACAAAGAAACGTCGCTGGTTGTTCAACGTAACCATGGCTCCCCAAGAGGAGGGAATGAGACATTGTGTCAGAGTATGGGGATCGCATAAAATCATGCCATGTTACTAAGTTAAGTAAGTAAATTTTATTTACATAGCACATTTAAACATAGCAAAGCTATCCAAAGTGCTGAACAATATAAAATAAATTTAAAAGAGAAAAAAACAGAAAAGAACCAAACAAGACAATGAAACAACAATAAAGTGAGATTAAAATGCTAAAGAGAAGAGATACGTTTTCAACCTCGATTTAAAAATGGTAATGGAAGGTGCAAGGCGAATGTCCAGAGGCAATTGGTTCCACAGACAGGGGGCAGTGACAGAAAAAGCTCGGTCACCCTTCGTTTTCAAATGGGAACGAGGGACAAATGAAAGAGCCCTATCAGCGGATCTTAAAAGTCTGGTAGATGACAAAGGAATAAGAAGATCTTTGAGATAAGATGGAGCTTGATGGTTAAGAGCTTTAAAAACAAACAACGGAATCTTAAACCGAACTCTAAAATGGACCGGAAGCCAGTAAAGGGAAGCTAAAATTGGGGTGACATGGTCATATTATTTGCCCCAGTCCGCAGCCTTGCAGCTGCATTTTGTACCAACTAAAGATGTGTAAGCGATGACTGAGGAAGACCTGAGTACAGTGAATTGCAGTAATCTAAACGAGAGGTAATAAAAGCATGGATAACCTTCTCCAAATCTTGAAAAGACAAAAACGATTTAAGTTTGGAAATGACCCGCAATTGATGGAAACTGTTCCTAACAACATAATTGATTTGTTTGGATAAGCCTAGTTCTGAGTCTATGATAACATCCAGGTTTCTAACCTGTGAGGAAATTGAGGGGAAATGATTGCCCAGCTCCTTAATGATATCCGTCCTCATTTTTGGGGGACCAAAAACAATCATTTCGGTTTTGTTCTCATTGAGTTGGAGAAAGGTAATTGAAAACCATTTTTTCATTTCTGAGATACATTCCAACAAAGGTTGAATGGAATCACCAGCTTTTAGCGTGTATCATCAGCATATAAATGAAAAGAAACATTGTGCTTCCTAATAATATCCCCCAGAAGGGAGCATATATAAGTTAAAAAGAAGCGGCCCCAGAATAGAGCCCTGAAGTACTCCATTAATGATTGGGGCAGATGATGAGGAAAACTTGCCTAGCTCTACAGAAAAAGACCTGTCTTTGAGATATGAGCTGAACCATCATAAGGCTGTGCCCCTGATACCGATCAAATGTTCACCAAATAAGAACATTATGCAAATTAAGAACATGAGCAAAGATTGACGATTGTAAGTCAGCACTAAGACTGCATGGAACCAGTGCGAAATCATGCATAACAGCACAGATGGCAGATGAACAGGTACCACAGGAACACCAAACTGAGAACAAACGAGAGACAGAGAGACGGCAAGCCGGGTACACTGGTGCCATCTTGGAAAACCTAGCAGAGTCTAAGGCCTCAGATAAGGCGTCTCTCAGGTCTACCAAAATGAATCCCTGAGCCGGACCTTATTGTGAGGAACATGAGCATGAACATGAGAAAGGCGGGCAGACTTCTGTGCTGGCTCTCCATCTGGGCTGCATGGTGCTGCATGGTCCAACTGGGGAGGTCAGGAACGTGGCTGAGGTGGTGGTGTGGCCATACCTGAAGGACATAGTCCCTTTGTGTATGCTTTGGATACTTGCAGCAGTCTGGCCAGGCTGGTTTCGATATACTGTACAACGCGACATTCACATCAAATGTTAACTCAGCGGTAGAGTTACACTCATGGGACACTGTGTGATGTAACATTAAAAAGCGTGTCAGACAGTGCCTGATTACTGGACTAAGTTATCTTTCGCGTCATGTCTAAAGTTAAAAGTAAACAGTTGAGAGAAAAATGGATGGGTGCCTGTATATTAGATGCGTGTAGGTCTTAAAAGGGTCATGAACTGGCTTTTTAAAATGATTTTATACTGTTGTCTGAGGTCCACTTATGACGTTCGCATGATTTTTACATTCAAAAACATCAAAATCAATAAGTAATCGGCAACCTTCTACCCTGGTTTTGAGGCCGGCTCGAGAAGCGCTCGGTTTTTATGGGCGTGCCACATTGAAGACTTGGAAGTAAACGCCCACTGCTATGATTGGATAACAGTTGTGCATTGTAAACTAACTAACTGTTTGACAAGCTACGCCCTTCATAGTTGGAGCCTTCTGTGACTTTGGTTAGACACGCAATCAGGGCATATCAAGCGATCTCTAACAAAGCAATAGTGACATGGTACAAATATTTTTTTTACTCACAAGTGTGCTGCGCCATTCCTGTTGGATTCAATATAGACGGCACAGCATTGCTTTTTAATCTCAGTCTCTGCAAATCCAGCGTCAACCTGTGTCTTGTTTACAAAGGAATCTGCGGTGAAAAGAAGCGAACAAACGCTCAATGTTTTACTCGCGTGTGCTGGAACTTCATTAAAAATAAAGTTCAACCACACATTCCTAATATTTGAATCCGAAGTAAGGTTATGCAGCGACTGTGTTATGACTTCTCAATTCATAACCCCTTTAAAGTGACAGTGCGAAACATGCTGCTGCTTGTGGGATATTAAAGGGATAGTGCATCCAAAAATTAAAATTCTGTCATTATTTACTCATTCTCATGTTGTCCCAAACCTCTATTAATTTGTGCTGAACACAGAAGATATTTTGAAGAATGTGGGTAACCAAACATTTTTTTGTCCCCACTGACTTTGTTAGAAGGAAAAAAATACTATGGAAGTCAGTGGGGACCAGCAACTTTGATAACCCACATTCTTCAAAATAACTTTTATGTTCAACAGAAGAAAGAAACTCATTCAGGTTTAAAACAACTTTTTTAAAGTGAGTAAATGATGACAAAATTGTCATTTTTGGGTGAACTGTCCCTTTAATGTAAATAAAACAACAAAATACAGAGAGAAAAATCACTCACTGCTCTTGACTGAACAACTGTAATACAATTGCTTTAAGAAGAATCGATTGTTTAATTTATACAGTGAAGTGTATATAGTGTTTTATTTTTAGATTTGTTCATTCAATTTCTTGAATGCTTCTGCTAAATACACCTACTGTACCTGAAAAATAAAGTGCTGTCTGTTTTATTTGTATATTATGTGTATTTGTAATGTGTGTCTTTGTTATTATTTTTTAATAACAAAGATAAAATAATGACAAAGATTTTTATCTTCGCCCACTTTGGCCTAAATGTCTGCCATTCTTTTTTTATTTTATATTTTGTTACCTTGTAAGGCTTTGTTTTCAAAATAGAGAAATTAGTCTGACTGTACTACTCAGACAACTTGCAAACATGACAAAGAATCGTGCTAAAATTGTGAATCGTGATTTTCCTAAAAAAAAACGTGATATGATATTTTTACCATATCGCCCACCCCTAGTATACATATAGAAATTTGTTGCCCATTCTCAATGGGAAACATTGCTCGGCGACATTCCCAGCAACATTGCTCATAAAGTTGCCCCGTGTATCATCACCTTTACTTTTGTGCAATAGAGTTCTGGAGGGATGTCAAAACCTGGAAGACTAATTCGCCATGGGTTCCCTCCAGATTTTCCTATGGGGTTTTATAATGTGTGTGTTTTTTTTTTTGTTTTTGTTTTTTAAATTTATGAGTAAAATAAGGTCTTATTTAAAAAAAATCTCACTTGTTTAAAAACGTTTTTATTTCTCTGCCACTGTTTTAATAACAATTTAATTTGCTAATATGTACAAAGAAGTTATGCAAAATTACTACATTATAATTTGTGAAGAGTATGGGTGGCTGGTATGACCAAAATTGGTACGTGACAATGTGAGAAATTTTATATTGCCGTAACAATGTTGTTATTTTTGCTGGAAATTCTTTCCAGGTTTTTTTATTTTTTATTTTTTATTATAACATAATCATGTAGTTTATATTGTAGTCAAGCTAGAATCTGTGCATTACTAAATATTTGGGATTGCTCTATTAAACTTATTTAAAACGTAATCCTACATATAAACTAAATGTTTACGGAAACCATCAGGAGTAGTGGTTTGGTAAAAAAGAAAAAGAAAAAAAATTGCAGACTAATTGAATAACATAAATGAGCTCATATTTAACCTGAAAGAATTCATTCATTTAATCATGTATGATGTTGTTGACATTTGCACTTTTACATTTTAAAAGATAAAACTTTGTTATTGGCTCTTTATCACAAAAAAGTACATTTAGAATGTATTCAAACCTTGTTTTGTTTTTTGTTTTTTTTATGTTGCAAACTTAAATTTTTTTCCCCCGCATC